ACTGACTGGGTCTGGCTCAAGTTTCCACATGTTTTTCCTCCTCCAACTACAAGTTGGATGTCGGGGGAAAAAATCCAATTTGGAAAAAGGCAGCGCCCCAGTCGGTGGCCCAACCCCAATAACCAGGCCCAACCCAACCCAAACCAAATGCTGCCTAATGCCCTTACACACACGGACACACACTCATGCACACATACAGATGGAATCAACTTGGCTGCTGCGCGCACCCAAAAGCTGTATTTTTTGTTACTGTTGTTTTTTCCTAGCTTTTTTCCCCCAATCCCACAGTGGTCGATTCAGCCCATCTGGCAGGCAATAATTAACAACTCAAAAAATAAATAGGTAACATTTTTAAAAATATTTTTGTATTTTGGAATATAAATCCGCGGAGTATTTAACTAAATTTTTAATTTTTATTATTTAACTCAAAAACTTTTAAAAATACATTTTAAAAAAAAATAATTTTTTTTGTATTTCGAAATATTATAAAATGTTTTTATAAACACTTTATATTAATATGGTCTGTTTTTTGAAGTATTTTAAATTTCTGCTGTACACTTCACTTCGCTAACAATAATTTTCGCTAAGTTTGTTTTTATCAATTATCAATTCATTGAGTGAAAACATGGATCCAACTCGCTTTAGCTTTTTTTCTTACTAGTTTCCCTTTCGAAACATCGCGAAAAGCGTGCTTATTGACACTGCCATTTTCCTTATAAAATCAAATAAATTAACTAAAAAATTAATAATTAAGCACAGGACCAACACATATATTTTTTATTGAATACTTACCAACTATGATCAAAATGGATGGTAATTTTAATACAAATCGCAAAACATTAAAATTTATTTTGCTTTACCAAAAGCCATAACAAGGCGGTAAAATGTACTTAGGTATGGACAGAAAAGTTTTCTGCGATTCAACCGCGTGCAGGTACTGGACTATCGATGGGAAAAATATATAAATATCGCAATAAATATCAGTGGGATGTTTACTTTCCAAAAATTAAAAACAAATTTACAAGATTCGACATTTTAATTTTTCATTTATTGCCTGCCAGATTGGCAGAATCGACCACTGTGCCTCCCCATCATGTTTTTCATTTTAACCCCGTTTCGTCAACGCTCTTGGCCCGTCCCTCACTTAAAAACAGCAACAGCTCCGAGACCGAGACCCATGCTTGCCCCTTCCTCTTTTCCCCCTCTCTCTAGTCATCGCGTGTAAAGGAAATTAAAAATTCAAAAAGTCAAAGGCGCAAGCAGCGCAGCAACAGCGGAGGAGAGCAGCGTGTGAGAGAGAGCGCAGCGCACGCAGGAGAGTGAGTAAGAGAACGGCAACAGTTTTTTTTTGTGTAGACTTGGGGGACGGGACCCAACGAAAAGTCTACAAAGTCATCAGTGCCAGCAAGCCCTATGCCTGTTTCTGTGAATGTGAGACTGTGGTGTGTGTGTTTGTGTGTGCTCATTCCTTTTGTGAGTGCGCTGGCAGCGCTGCCTCGCCTCGACGGATGTAGGATTGTTGGCAATGTTGTATGCGTGTGCATTTGTGTGAGTTTGCTGCTGCGTTCGTGTGTGTGTGTGTGTGTGTGTGTGTGTGGGGCAGCGACGCGATGACTATCGTGGACGTGGTCGTTTGGAGCTTGGGAGCTCGAGGATCGCTCATTCACATTTTGGATTCAACCGGGACGGACGAAATTTGACGTGCGGCAAAAGTGTTTCGTTTCGTTTTTCGTTCGTGCGGATCGCGGTTCGGTATGATCGCATCACCTCCTCCACCGCTCTCCCTGTTCGTCATCACTCTTCCTCTCTCTCTTACGCTGCTCTCACCGCCTGAGTTGTGAAAATTTCCACTTGGAAATTTGGAAATACAAAAAAACCAAGCAGAAAGAAACTAAAATTAAACAAAAGAAAAGGAAAGGAAAAAACTGCAGGCGTCAGCAAAAGGAGAAAATACATATATTTAAAAAAAAGAAAAGGTGCTTACAATTGTGGAAATTGAATTGTGTGATTGTGTGTGTCAAAGGGGGTGTATAAATAATTCTCTGCTTTTTTTCGTCTGTAAAGTGATCTCTCCTCAGACAGAACCGTGCCGCCCACCCCTAGAACAACGACCAGGGCCACCACTCTTATCAGGCGCATGGTGTCCGTGTGAGCAGACGACGTGACTGGCAGAGGCCAATGTATATGTGTGTGTGTGTGTGCCGCTGCGCTGTCGACTTCCTGCGTCGAGGACTACTTTTACTCATTTCATTCGTGCGCGAGTTTTGAACGAGTGAGGTCGGGTTCAGTCTGTGGAACTGAAAACTGAAAACTCAAAACTGAAACCGAAATTGCAGACGGAATTAAGTAAAATTTAATTCATGCAAAGTAAGAAGACGCAACGGTAAACGGAATACTATAGTGCGTGCCGCAGAGGCACGGCACGGCGAAAACAAACTGAAAACAATACAATTCCATTAAAAATCTAACCATGAATAAGAAGAAAAAAAAAATATATATAAAGTATATTTCTGTGATCGTGTGTGCGCGCTTGCTCTCTTGAATATTTCTTTGCTCTTGGAGCGACGAAAGCTTTTCGTAAAGCTCCTCTAATAACTGTTTGCAAAAGCTGTGTGTGTGTGTCTGTGACTATGTGTGCTGTGTATGTGTGTTTGTCGCCTATTCGATCACTCTCTCTCCCGCTCTTTGGCTATTGAATGGTTCTGCCCCCTCAATTGATTTGAACAAGTGCAGCGCCGACACAAAATAAAAACAAACTAGCACAAAAAAGTGCAAAGCAAAAGCTACACAAAATAGTGAGACCCAAGAAGAACAGAAAGTGAAAAGGAACAGTGTGACCCTCTCTCCGCGTGAACGGAGGAGCCAACAAGGAGGTTCGGAATTGGAACTGAAACGATTTTCAATTAAAGCGTACAGGCGGCCAATCCGATAAGATAAGAAAGAGCGCGCACTGGCGGGCGGTCTGTCTGGTGGTTTGGCAAATATTTAGCAAGTGCCGCGCATTCTCCTCAGCAACGGAGGGGTAGCGGAACGGAGACGAAAACGAAGACAACAAACGACTTTTGTTTGCATGTGTTTCCGTCTCCGTTCGTTTCCTTCTTCATTATTTCGTTCGCCAAGGATGTTTTTGTTGGAATACGTACACAGCACGAAAGAGGGCGGAACAGCAAAGAACAGAAACAGCAACAGAAAGTCAGAAAAAGTGATAAGTGGATCCATTCCATGCCCGTAAACGTGCCAATGGAATTTCATGACTTTCCACAACAATTTCTAGATGGATGATTGGGGATTGTGTTCCAGTTTCGTTTCTGTATGCCTGTGTGTGGCAATACCAGGTACTTTTCGTTAACAAGATAACGTTTCCGATCAGCATCACTATGAGAGTCTGTTGATCCATATCTATCTGGATCTAGGAGACTATCAGAACTAATAAAAGCAAAATTCGCGTGCACGAAACCTTCTGCCGTCTGAAATTGAGGCAAAACTTATTCCCACAATCAGAGTCAGAGTGAAATATAAAGGATTTCAAGTTAACGCAGGGTATCGTAATGTCGTAAGAGCGACTTTAGGCACCTGAGTTAATTTTTTATGGCAGGCGTAAAGTTTTTCCATTTTGTCGTCTACGTGCCTGTTGCTGCTCTGCTCCATTCTGCTTCCTCTTTTGTTGTTCTCCTGCTCACTCCGTTCGCCTTCCCTTCCTCTTCTGTCTACTCTTCGCTCTGCTTCTTCTGTCTTCACACAACACACGACACACACCCTTTGGCAAGTTTTCAAGTCACACACTCACGCGCAGAGCCACATGCACGCTTTTACAGGCAACTGTTTCTGCTGCTAAACTAGCCTTTGAAAAAAAGCTAGAAAGAGCCAGAAAATGTTGATGGTAGTTAAAAAAAAACGCTAGAGTATTTTAGCGCCTCTTGTTGGCATGTTTTCACAGACACAGATGCAACAAACGGTATTTTGTTTGTCTGTGCAAAAGCAAACGACAAAGATTTATGTTTGGCTGCCTTGGCATGTGTGTGCAAATCGCTAAGATTTGCATTAATGCTAGACTTATTTATTTATAATATTTGAAAAAGCATTTCCCATCATCGGCTGAATCTAAAGCCAGCCAATCTTTGACTGCAAGGTCCAACATCCAGACACGACGCGATTTTTGCTTATAAATCTTAGGCATTTGAAACTTACACTCGCGATCGAATCTTGTGAAATTGTGAAATGCCTCAATCGATTCAATTGATTTAAAACCTAAAACCGATAAAATTGAATTCCCTTTTGGCTTATCGATGTTTTTTGCGATTCAAATCGAACAAAAGCATTAAAATACATGAAGTTGCCAGAGGTTTTTAATAAGCTAAAATTACATAAATTTGTCTTTAAAAATAGCCATAAATCCCGCTACCCACTCTTTTAAAATTTATCCTGCATTTGCAAATTGAAACACGATAGATCTAGTGGGAAAATAGCTAAATTGGCAACACTGGCCGCGTCGTTGTCCCATTTCCACACACACAGGCACATATGTATCCCCATTCACTCTCACAGCCGGTCCCCCCTCTCTCTCTCACTCTATCTGACTCTGTCGATCAGTGCGTGTGTGTGGTGGGGTTTTGGGACTGTTCGTTGCTGTTGTTGTAATTTGCTGCCCATTTGAAACACATTTGAAATTTCCATTTAGATTTCCTCATTTACTTTTCCTGACTGCCGTCGTCGCTTCGGCAATGAATGCCTGCATAATGCTCAAAGGGTGGGTAGAGGGCGGGGGAACCTTGCGACGACAGTTTGACCCGCGGGGTCGTCTCTTAAATTAAATTTTTGTTTGCACTTGCGAGTAATTTACGGAGCCTCTCCGCTCAAGGGAGGAAATTCTCAGATCTAACTGAATGAAACACACACACACACACTCGCGGGAGAGGGAAAATTGAAAATCCTATAGCACGATCCTTTTAGAGAAAACGCCGCCTTGAAACTAACCTGAGTGTGTGTTACTTTGATTACAGTACGCCCTGGATTATATGTTCTGTACATTCAAACGATTGTCAGGAAGCAGGACGAGTTACAAGGACCTTAGATGAGACCCGCGCGCTACGCCTAACAATTGAATGAAGATCACTATATAGGGTATCCAGACAGATCACCCCGTCCGAAAATCAATCAACTATCAAAGGGACCACCACCGGCAACCGCAACCACAACGGCTTCCAAATGAAGATGGCATCCCAACGATTCTGCCTGCGATGGAACAATCATCAGAGCAACCTGCTGTCGGTCTTCGATCAGCTACTCCACGCAGAAACCTTCACAGACGTGACGCTGGCCGTGGAAGGACAATACCTAAAGGCACACAAGGCAAGTGTTTACCTCCCTTTATGAGTTGACTGTCTGACTGGTCTAACTCTGGTTTGTTTTCGCCCCTTTATACAGATGGTGCTATCCGCCTGCAGTCCATACTTCAATGCTCTGTTTATCAATCATCCGGAAAAGCATCCGATTGTCATATTAAAGGATGTGCCCTACTCCGATATGAAGTCCCTGCTGGACTTCATGTATCGCGGCGAGGTGTCCGTGGATCAGGAGCGTCTTACCGCATTCCTACGCGTGGCCGAGAGCCTGCGCATCAAGGGCCTCACCGAGGTGAACGACGATAAGCCCTCGCCGGCAGAGAGCACACCGGCGGCAGCAGCGCCGCCACAGTTACAGCGCATTCAGCCGTATCTGGTGCCGCAGCGCAATCGGTCACAGGCCAGCCTCTTGGCCAGCACCGCCAGTGCCGCCAACAGTGCCACACTGCCGGTGCAGCCGTCACTCCTCAGCTCCGCCCTAATGCCCAAGCGTAAGCGGGGCAGGCCCCGCAAGTTGTCCGGCAGCTCCAATGGCACCGGCAACGACTACGAAGACTTTGAACGCGACAACCTAATGAATGAAACGGACATGGGCAATGGCAAACTGGGCAACGACTCCTACTCTGGCAACGATGATGGCTCCGATGATAACCAACTGGAATCTGGAAATAATGATGATTTAAATGTGAGTTTTCCCACTAGGGAATCCGCTCCCTAGCATCTGTACTAATCAGCTTTCGTATTCCGCCTATAGGAAAGTCGCGATTCTCTGCCCTCGAAACGATCAAAGAACTCAAAGGATCATCGGGTGGTTAATCAGGCAGAGGACAACAGCACTTCCGGTGAGTCCATTTTTCATGTTCAGCCTCTAGATTACCATAAGATCTCTACATTACATATATGTACATACATTACATAGTATAGCCCCTAAGATCATTTTTGCCTTAATTCTAAGAGACAGAATTGCACCATCAACCCAATCAATCAATCAATCAGTCGATCGATATTACATCATTCTCTTGGTCAATCATTCAGTGCACCAAAAAAAACAAAAATCAAAATACAACCTCAATCCAAAACAGAACCAAAGGTGAAGCCACATCTCTCATCTGCGACAGAAAATAAATATTTCGAATTATTTGAATATCGGAAAAGCTAAAAGGGATTTTACGCATTTCAATTTAGATCGAAAGATACCATACAAAATAAATATAACTTCTACACGCGCGTCGGTTTCCCCTTCATAGTGAAAACAAAACAAAAAATGTGAGAAAAACAATCGAAAGTTTCGTTCAGTGAATCAATCGGCAGAGAGCGTTTTATAGGACCTCCTTCCCCCCAGTCGAGTGCGCTTGTACCGTCCGTCGGCAGGTGAGTGTCCCCAACAACAAGAACACGAAGCGGTTTTGATGCCACAGAAATGCAAATCCACAAAATGCTGAAGAAGAGAAATAATTTGTGAAGTTGAGGATCGGGTTGAAGCTCACAGGGATTCATGGCCGACGTGAAAACAAAATGAAAAAATATTCAGAAAAGAAAAAGAATACAAAAGCTCAGTTCTAAAAGAAAGTTTTACTTTTTGTTTCCAAAATTATTAACGCGCGCAAAAATCGATGGCTCTCCAGAAAATGCAAAAAAAAAAAAAAGAAGAAAAGAAATTACGACCACAGCATCGCACCTCATGACCGCCTACGCCCATTATTTCATATCAAATTATAGCAGAAGAAATACACGAAAACCAGAAAATAGAAAAACATTTCGATTACCACGAATACGCGTTGAAAAAATGGCTTGAAATCCCTATAGCTTTTCCGATCCGACTCAAAACTATTCTCTCACACAGTCGCGTCATTGTGTTTTGCCTTTCTCTTGCATACATCCTGCACCCCACACACACACACACACACACACACACACACACATCACCACTACACATCCTGCCCCCAAGAGGAGACCTCACTAACATTCCACTCTTTCTCGATCTCTCTGTAGATGGCAACGACAGCGATGGCGATGGCATGGACGCCTCGTATATGGAGCCACAACTGATGCTGGACGAGTACGATGAGCCCGTGGAATTCAAATACAATCCCCTCACCGACAACAGCTCACCCACGCAGGACCACACCGACACCGGTGGAGCCAGCAGCAACAACAACAACCAGCACCTCAACGAACAGGCCCGCCAGCAGGCGCTCCTGATAGCCGCGCAACGTAAACACCATGTGGAGACGGCGGCAGCAGCGGCGGCAGCAACATCCGGCGTAAGCGGTGGCGGAATCAAGCTGAACATTATCGGAATGGCTGCGGGGGGAGCGCAGGTGAAGAGTATGGTCAGCATACCGAAGCTCACGCCCATTGGCAAGGCGAACGCAGCCTCCACGCCGCTAGTGTCGCCTGCGTCGTCCTCATCGGCCAGGCCGCGTGTGCAGAAGCGCCCGAAGCTGGGCAAGATGAACGGCGAGGTGAAGGGGGTGTTCACCAGCCAGGACTACCTCGATCTGTACAACAGCAGCGACGGATTCAAGTTCAAGGCGGCCGGTTCGCTGAGCGGCAGCACGCCGAACCTCAGCGCCAGCGGCAGCGTTGGCTCGCCAGCCGTCAAGACCAAGCTCAATCTCAGCAGCAATATTGGCGAGGGCGACACGGAGGGCTCCGTCCGGGACTATTGCACCAAAGAGGGCGAGCACACGTACCGCTGCAAGGTCTGCTCGCGCGTCTATACGCACATCAGCAACTTTTGCCGGCACTATGTGACCTCGCACAAGCGCAACGTGAAGGTCTATCCGTGCCCCTTCTGCTTCAAGGAGTTCACGCGCAAGGACAACATGACGGCGCACGTCAAGATCATTCACAAGATCGAAAATCCCTCAACGGCGCTGGCCAGCGTTGCAGCCGCCACATTGGCCAATCAGCCGCTTGGCGTGTCTGGTGGATCAACGCCACCGCCGCCAGATCTGAGTGCCCAGAACTCGAATCAGTCGCTGCCCGCCACCAGCAATGCGCTCTCCACCTCATCATCGTCGTCCACCTCGTCGTCAAGCGGCTCCCTGGGTCCGCTGACGGTGGCCACCGCTCCCTCAGCCCCCGCTGCGGCGGCGCAGTAATCTCCCCCTGACCCACACACACACACAACACCCATAAACCATTTAGCACCCACCCAAGAAGAAATCCTCAGACACACAGACAGAGACAGAGAGGTTGATTCCAGGAGAAGCAGCCACACATATTCCAGCAGAATCCAATAGGGGGGGGGGAATCTAAGGATCGGGAGGAGAAGCAAAGCGCCAGGCGCTCGCTATTGCAGGGGGGAACGGGGGGTAGATTTTTTGTTGATTTTGTTTTTAGTTATTTACTTCTGGCTTTTGTTTAATAATCTATCTATTATGTTGCGTTTCTCTTTTACTGAACGTGAATAATAATGCGGGAGAAAATGCCGGGCAACGTGGAAATCTCTGATTATCCAAAAAAGGCGAGCTAAAACGGGGAATTTCCTCAACAACAACAAAATAACCGTTTAGCAGTCTTTATTTATACATATTTATATGTTGTGCAATTATTTTTCCAAATCCAACCCAAACCGAACCGAACCCTTTTTTTCTTAGCCGTAAGTCACACACACCCGCACGCCCTCACTTCCAAACTAATCCTAAACAGAAAAACCACCAATGCGATTAATATTTTTACGTATCGAAATATATATACAAATATTTCCATGAAAACAAAGATTATTTTTTTGTTGTGGACACCAGAGCGGCCTTATTTAAAGAATCGCATATCACTTGGGTCAAAGGGTTAGAAAGGTTAGAAAGAAAGTTAAACCGAAACTAAACAAACAAAAACCTTCTGCACTTTTAGTTAATTACAAAAAAAAAAAACGTATCTGCATAACTTTAGATACAGATTTATAAATATAAAACCACACACACACACAATATCTATACACATTGAATGGTATGTTTAGCACGTAGTTCTATTAATTAATTTATCATTATCTTATGTTCAGATATGCTTATGTTAATATATACATATATACTATATTATTATTACATCTTACGAATCGAAAGCTAAAAACAACGGAAACGGAAAAGAAAAAGAAAAAAAATGTAATGTTAATCATATGCGAGAGGGAGCGCAAATCTACCTTGTTGCCTTCAAATGAAGCTAGTTAAAAGTTAAATCCGAGTCTGGGCGCAGGGTCCTTTTTTGTGACCCCCCAGTAACTCACACACACACATTTACACACCTATACAGATAGATGCCGACCCCCGTAGAGGATATCCAACGAAAGATTGCAAATGTTTCGTTGGAATCGAGAGGGGGGATGGGATGTTGTCGATTATTAATCGATCAATGATCGTCGATTAATTGTAACTACAAATAGTAACAGCAACAATAATATACAATAATAATTGTAATGATAATATTATTAAATTAATGAACATAAAAAGTAAACATAATTTATCATCAATCTATTAAACGATTTATGTTGTATATCGGAGGCTTAAATTATCGCCAAAGAAAATAAAAATCAAAAGCAAAAAACCTAAACGCTAAAACGCAGTTGAAAAATCCAAACAGAGAAAAAAACCGCAGCACACAGACAAAACAAATAGAGAATGTTAAAATTACAAATTTATTGTTGTTAAAGCAAAACGATCTCCAAAAACAAACAAAAAAAAAAACAAAACACAAAAATTAAAGGTTTAAAATCTGCAAAGAAGAATAATAATAAATAAAAATTAAAAAAAATACACAACAAGAAAAAGTTATTCCTCGAGTCATGTGAACACGTTTAATTTTTTGTCCACTGAAAAACTGCAAAAACAAAATTCAGCAATAAAAAAACAAACAAACAAAATAAAAATTAAAACTAAAAATTATGCGCAATCCAATAATAAACAAACTGCGTACGCTAATTTATTAAATAATTTTGTTTTTAATTCTTTATTTAGTGGTAGCTAGTGCAATTTAGTCCGTAAGCCGCCGTCGACCCCACACCACCTAACAATCTCCAACAGAATCACCAACTCTTCTCGACAAGGATTTCTCCATCTATATCTAGCCCAAAAAAATCATCTTCCAATCTTTTGTGTTTTTGGCGTTAATTATAAAGAAACAAACAAAAATTAAAAATCAAACACAATATACATATATTGTAGATTGTTTGTACTATATTTTACTTTTATTTTTAGTCTACTTTTTATATATAAATACATACATATATGTACACTATACACTACACATATTTTTTGCATTCAAAGAACTAAAAATCAAAACTTACAAAAATACCCTCGGCAATTTTCTCGCTTTCAAACGATGTCCACACAACACTCGAACACTTTACGAGGAATCAATCAATATAAATACATATATACATAATATATATATATAAAGAGTCATGCTTTTGATGCCCAAAGAAATATATGAATATACACATATATGTATATATATATATCTGACCAGATCTTTCCAGAATATCGCAAGGCAAACAAACTTCCATGTGTGAATGAGAAAATTGTCTGCAAATTCGATGGTAAACTTGGTTTCCGTTTAAAATTAGCTAAATACGACGATACGATACGATATCTGTAATTATGAATAATTATAAAATAAATAAAAACCTAACTACTAAATAGTGAATCACACGCAATATTAACCAGATATACATATATAACTAATTTTTGTTATAGTAGGAAGGCGAAAGCAAGAGCAAACAGAACATTTTATAATACAGCAACAAACAAACAACAAAAATAAAACAGAAGAGAAATAAAATACACAATGCAAAAAAACACAAAAAACAAAAATCAGTTCTGAACCAAAAATTGATTGTTTTTATTTCATTTTAGTTGTAATTGATTTATATTTGATATTTCCCCCCAAACTACGTTTAGCATAATTCTCAGCAAAAAGGTTTTGGAATTAATTTTTAAATTTTATATTTTTTTACAGTGACACCCGCACAGTCGCAGGCCACACCGGAACTCTCGCAGCGGCTCTTTGGCTCCACCTCAACGCTGACGACCACAATTTCGGCCAAGACAACCACTGTAGCAGGAGCAGGACCGGTATTGGGGGCAGCCCAAACTACTACCGCTGTGGCAGAGCCAGCGGTGGCCACACTGCTGGAGATTGGCGATAATCCAGTCCACCTGCCAACCATTCTGGGACTGAAGATACGCGCCATTAACCCCAACACTACTTCCCCACAGAAGCAGACACAGACACAGACCCAACCACCATCGCCCACACAATCGCATTCTCAGTTGCAATCAAAGACAAAGCCTAAGGGAAATGGCAGCAACAGCAACTCTCTGCTGAAGCAACAGCTGCGCGGCGGGGCTAAAGATCCCGAGGTACCCAGTGCCAGTCGGCTGCAAGCAGCAGTAGCAGCCGCATCCCCCAACGAAGAGACTGACATCGAGAGCCAGAAGTGCCAGCAGGAGGCACACAGTGGGCTACAGTCGCTGGCCAATGCAGCGGAGCAACAGGCAGCACAAGTGGCCAACAGCAGCGACAGCCTGCACCACCAGTTGTTGCTGCACATGGCCGCCAATCAGCAGAAGGCGGCGGACTATTACCAGCAGCAGCAGCAACAGCAGCAGGCATCGCCCTTGAGCGCCGACCAGTATCCGGATGATGACATGGAGCTTCTCTGCGTTGCGGAGCAGCAGGATAAGGCTGATGATGAGCCCGATCACGACTTGCTTACACTGGCCGATGAAAACGCTGGACTGCCTGGCTACCATCAAGCCACCGACTCCGAACCCCATGCAGTGTCCGCAAAATCGTCAGCAGCATCTGGCGGTGTCCGAGCAAGCAATCCACCGCGCCTGTCGGGCTCCAAGAAGCCAGCCAAGCGACCCATTCAGCGGAGAAGGGTGCGACGCAAGGCCCAGTCCACGTTAGACGACCAGGCGGAGCATCTGACGGAGATGTCGGTGCGGGGACTGGATCTGTTTCGATACGCCAGCGTGGTGGAGGGCGTCTATCGGTGCACAGAATGTGCCAAGGAGAACATGCAGAAGACATTCAAGAACAAGTACAGCTTCCAGCGGCACGCGTTCCTCTACCACGAGGGCAAGCATCGCAAGGTGTTCCCCTGTCCGGTGTGCTGCAAGGAGTTCTCACGTCCGGACAAGATGAAGAACCACCTTAAGATGACGCACGAGAACTTCACGCCACCCAAGGACATTGGCGCCTTTAGTCCGCTCAAGTATTTGATCACCGCAGCGGCAGCTGGCGACATGCAAGCCTCCATGTACCAGCAGCAACAACAACAGCAGCAGCAGCAGGAGCAGTACCAGCGACAGCTCGAACAGCAAATGGAGCAACAGCAGATGGAGCACCAGCAGCAGCAGGATGGCTGCCTACTGCTGCCAGAGGACGTGAAGCAGGAGGACCAGGACCAAGAGCTGAGTGACGGCTATGAGGCCTCCAATCCCGAGGCAGCCGCCGCGGCCATGCTGAGCCTGCACCACGATGTCATCATCAAGAATGAGATACAGATCTCGCCGTCGCCATCGCCCTCGCCGCCCACCACATGCGCTGTGGCCGAGGGCAAGACCCTGGCACTGGCCACCAACGCACAAACCACCGCAACGTAAAGACTTTTGGAAGGGGATCCCCCACTTAACGCTAACGCACACACTGAACGCACCTTAAAGCGAGGTCTCTCAACTGTAGAATACTTGATAGGCAATAAGCAATTGAAAAAACACTCAACAGGATTGTTAGTTAAATTAAAGCAATACTAAGCTACTACGACTACAACGTGCTCCGTCCAGATAGCCTTAAAACTAAGTAAAACACTCTTAAGCTAGTGTATCTGTAGCCTGTAAGACTGTAATCCTTAGGCCTAAGCTGCTGCTGCTGCTGCTGGCAATCGGGGAGAACGTAAGCCCACCTGCCATTTGCGCGCGCACACACACAGTTCAGTGAACTCTAATGACTTTCGGCTTTAATTATTAAACAATTTACATAGTTGGAAGAGAGAGAGAGAGAACCCTACCGAACCCCACAAGGGGTAGTGGGGCAAATTTTAGAACTTTTTAATTTCATTTTTGTGATTTTGTTGAACCTTTCTTAATATTTTTTAACTTTTTAGCATTCTTATTGTTTTTTTGTTGTACATATAGGTATAGCATATAGATTTGTTTAATACTCAAAGTCCGTAGTATAATTTTGTTCATTACCTTGGCAACAAGTGGAAGTGAAATCAAATGTATTGGCTATTTGTGCAATTATCAAAATGATTTGGTTCAGGGGCCACCACCTCGGACGGAAATGGCACGGAAGGAGGAGCGCAGGCCCCACCAAAATGTTGTAAACTTAATTATCGACTACTTAATTATGATATATACGTAGTACTATGTAGATTATAAGGCATGTTCCAATGTACAACAAAATGCGCAAAGGACTTCCCCAGTGAAGAAGAAGAAATCTGAACTGAACTGATATTTATACGAAACGAAAGGAGAAAGGCCAACCTAGAGGTGAAGTGGGATCCTCTGTCTGGCAATTATTGTATTATGTATTATCACATCAACAATTTACTTAAAAGGCAACCATTACGACTTAAACTTACAATGCGCTCAATCCGATAGATATTATAATATACTACAGATATTACAAAAGATCAGATGCGAGTGCAGTCTAGGCTTACGATTCGATTCATGGAGAGACACTGGAAAGAGTTCATTAAAAATAAAGAGAATTTTACTAAAAATAACCAATGATAAGTATAGCAAAGATGCGACAAATCATTTTGCTTTATTTTAATTACATGGGACGCTGATGACTGCAGAACCACAAACCGATGCAGGAAAGATAATTGTTAGAATACTCGACGAAAGTTTTCATTCTTAAATAGTTTATTCTTTTCCTCGTTCTGTACAATTTATTGATTGGTGGCCCTACGATACCAGAAGCGTGCGCGAAAGTCATCGGAGCAGGTGAGGAACGCAGGGGAATTGGGCGAATGGGTAATGTAGCGTACAGGTCCGTTGTGGCCCAAAGAGTTGAGCGTAAGCCGACAGCCGTTGCGAGAATTCCAGGAGCACAGCGATGTGGTTGCCTCGTCGGGGAAGAGCACATAGTCCTCGGTGTGGTTGAAGACGGCCTCGGTCTGGTTCTCCTGCTTTCCGGTGGTGCCGGCGCCCGTGTAAGTTTGTATGGGTCGACTTGTGCAGAGCTCCCACAGGTAGACAAGCGAGTCCATGCCCGAGGATAGTAGGTACTGGAATAGCGCTGGGATGAAAAGGAATTGTTTACAAGGGTATGCCAGACACTTACCTTGCCGTTTCGTGTGAATTGCAGGGAGCATATGGCCGCCCCGCCATGTGCCTCGGCAATGGTGTTGATGCAACGGCCACTGATGCCATCCCAGACCTTGATGTCGCCATCATAGCTGCCCGTCGCATATAGTTTGGCTGTGGGCGAGTACTTCACACAGGTCACCCCGGCCTTGTGCTGCTGCGAGGGAATGGCGCTGACGAAACACTGCGTGGTGTGCACATCGTACACACGCAGAACGTTGTGCTCCGTGCCGATGGCTATGTAGTCGCCAGTGGGATGAAATGAGAGACACAACACAGGCTCACAGTCGGTAAAGACTTTGTGGGCCTTCTTCACTGAGGGCTTGGCAATGTCAAACAATTTGACGGTGCCATCTCGCGACGCCGATGCCAGGATGTGCTCCTTGGGATGGAACTCCAGATAGGACACCTCATCGGTGTGGTCATAGAGGGTGCGTATAACCGGGTGACCCTGCTGCTCGCGACCCGGTTCACATTCGTCTGGCGCCGACTTGGCCAGCATACGCTCCACATCCAATATCTTGATGCTGGCATCCACACTACCGGTGGCCACCAGAGAGCCGTCGTAACTGAAGGCGCCGGCACGGCAAGCCTGCTTATGGGACGTCACATAGGCCGTTTCATACGAGTGCGGCTCTGGCGCCAGGGCGGATGCTTCGGGCTCAAACTCGAGATCAATGCCAGGGAGCACGTCGTCGGAATTGAGTTTCTCCTTGTCGGACAATGTCTGCATGCCGGATATTATTACATGCAGCAGGCGCTCACTCGGCGCACACTGATCTGCTTTGACCAGCATCGACAGTTCCATGGCAAACTTCTCCAGGCCATCGTACATCAGCTGGCTGCAAATGAAGAGACGATAATTGTGCGTTCTTGTCTGCGAATCCACAGGCCTACCTTATCATAAGTCGGTACAGTATTTCCCGGTTCTTAACCAGATTGTTGGGATCCAATATTTCATCGCGCATTGTGCTCGTTTTATTTATAAACAAAAAACGTAAATACAGATTCCACCGTCTATATCAAAGTAATCGTTATCGGTTTGATAATGCCGGCACACCATCTCTAGTTTAAGTGCTGTAAGGCGTCCTTATTAAAGTAATGTAGAATTTCCTGTTTCTCCGTCACGATTTCATCCCTGTGTAGTGGCCATGTAGCAAATTGAATGTATTAAATGTCTTTCCAACCCTGCGGCCACTACAACACGTGCGACTGCAACAGCTTGTTTTGATTTTTAATTTAAGAAAATATAAGAAATAAACAGCTAAACCATGAAGATTCGCAAGAACCACAAAGGCAAGCACTATCGCTACAGTGTGAACCGTAAAACACTCAACAAAACACGCAGTTCTACGGGCAAAATCAAGGAGTAAGCTTACTTTTTCAAGAGTGTCATGGAATGTCATTAACTTTTTTTCCCGCAGTCCCACTTTGAAGAAGATGTGGGTGGAGGGCCAGCGTGTGGGCACCAACTTCAGCGAAATGGGATTGGCCAAGGATCCCAACAAGGCAATCGCGATACCAAGCTATAGAAAGGACCGACTTCATGCGGCTAAAATTGTGAATGGTTTCGTTGAGGAGGAACTAGACGAGGAGGAGCGCCTGGTGCTGGGCATAAAGAAAGCCCCAGTAGATGAGGGGCCCAAACGGGGTCATGTGGTAGCGGAGCTGGAGCAATTGGCTAGCGAGCGTGCGGATCCAGAGTTCAGGTAAATAGGAATCTTGGGTGATTACGAGCATTTTTATATTCATTCTATTCTTACAGACTACCCAAAGGTGTCGTCAAAGAGCTCTCCTATTTCCTCAACAAATACAAGTTCAACTACAAGGCCATGGTCACGGATCGAAAGAACTATAGCCAACTGACATGGAGACAGTTTCGCTTGAAGCTTCGCAGATTTATGTCCATTCCCGAGCAGTTCAATGTCTATTTGGAGCAGAAGAAACTGCCAGCTGGTGTAAAGCCAGATTGGCCGGAGTACGAGTCGGACAGTGAATGGAAGTGAACAATAAATAGCCAAGTTTAGTGGATACTTTCGGCATCTCTTGGTCTTTTGATGTAATATTTAGCTCTTAATTCATATTTTGAATACATACTTGACGGGTACTCCTAAAAAATATTGTTCTTTGTTGCTGAAATTCTCCGTAAGAAAGGCTCCTGCTTATGTTCAATAGCGAAATGGCAGACCAGTGGAAGGGAGTCCTTAAAATTGGCCAATCTTGTAGAAAATTGATTCATCCATCGGATAAATTATTTGTTAAGTGCTGAGGGTGGGTCCTAGCTAGCTAGTTAGTAATATTAAACCGAATATCATAGTCGAGCAATATGAGTTCCGATCATGTAAAAATAACGATTAGCCCGATTATTATAAAACTTAAGCAGTTTTAGATAAGTTCAGGTGAAAGATATCGTGTTATTTGTTGTAAGTCAAGACGATCTACAAGAAGAGTATACAAGAAGTATTACTTTTCGCGGTTTAACTAAAGTTGTTCATCTGCTTATATATAGTTTTTTCATTCATCACGTATGTATGATATATTTCATACACTTGCTTGGTATATTATAGTATATTTCTGGGGGTATATTTTATAGATAATTCCACGGTCACACTGCCGACGAGGCTCCCGTTAAACTTTTCGCTCTTTCCGTTTTCTGATTTGGAGGTAAGTGCACGTAAACCGCAAATGGGTCTAGTTAAATTCCTGAAAATTGCCAATATTAATAGGCATCGATTGATTTTTCCGAGTGTCAATTAACCAAACAAGTGTGGGACATTAGATATTTTTGTATATTCATCAATAATTTCCTGTTCTTTGTGGGGCGAAAAGCCATTGAATTCAACTTTTATAAAACCAACGACTGCAGCTTCGGTGCATTTTCATGTGTATGCCAGTGTGTGTGTGTGGGAGTGTGTGCTGAAAAGTTGGACTACCGGCCGGTGTCCTATAACATTTTGCATAAGAGCCGTGCATAAATAACGATTGCGGTGAAAACTGTTTGATACAGCTACTAAATATTAAAGTTCTGTTGCATTTTAGGCTCAATTTTTAACTGAATTAAACCACTTTTTTTGCAGTTGAGACATTTTATTTCCAACATGGCGGCCGTTTTGGCACAGAATTGCAACAACTTTTTGTATGCCTGTGTGTGTGTGTGTTCCTTGATTTATTTTGCCATTTTGCGTGTTTTCTTTGCTTTTTATGGAAATTTTCATCAATTTTTTGCAGCTAAAAGCATGTGCAATTTGCATATGACACATGCTCTGCAGATTATCGTACCTCCCCCTTTTTCCGCCCTGCTTCATCTGCATTTCTGTGTGTGTGTGTGAGATTTTGCATGCCAAAGTATTTTTACATTTCCCTTTTTCTCGTGTCTTTTCCTCGTGTCTTCTTTTCTTGCAATTTGCACTTCGACGCAAATACAGAGTTAAAAATAAATGAGGAAAATTCGCAAAGCAAAAATTGTCACTAGGGTAGAAAATAAATCACAACGCCCTATACATGTGCAAGTGTGTGTGTGTGGTGTGTGTTCGGCTGCAAGTTTATCCAAGACGTCAGGCGGCGGTAGCCGACGAGAATCGATGCTAAACGATGAGCCAGGCCAGCCGCAGCCGCAGCCGCAGCCGCAGCCGAGCAAGTGCATCTCTTTCTCTACATGTGTGTCTCTCCTCTTTCTCTCACTCTGTCCGTCTGTGCAGTTTTGCACCCTTTTGAGCAACGCGAATAGTAATACCCTGCCGCCGAGAGCAGCCCAGAGACACACACGAATGTCCCCGAATGCCGATGCTTTGAATAGACTTTTTGTTGGCCCCCCTCACGGCGATGTCATCATTGATTTTGCTTCCATTTCGCGCAAATGCCTCATAATCTGTTAAACTTAAATCCGTCATATCCATCTCCATCTTAATGGGAAAGCTAATTCGAGCAATTTGAGCCAGCACTTTGCTGCCATTCCACTCTTTCACCCGACACTTTCTCTGCCTGCCACAATGTGTTCCGTGTTGTTTCGCCTGGATGGGGGCGGGGTGGTGGTTGTTGGTTGTAGGTTGTGGGCGCGCACTGTCTGAGAGTGCAGTGGCAGTCGTGAGCTGCTCTCGGCTCCCAGCTCCAAGCCTCTACTCGGCTTCTGTTTCTGTCTGGGGCTCGTTATTGATTTTTTAGACCGGGTTGCAGAAACGCCGAGAATCAGTCGTTCGCCGTGTCTGGAGCAGGACATTTCTGAATCACATCTACATATAACAAAAGTTCAGTATAAATTTTTCAACAATTATTGAAAATTATATTCCAGGATTCAGCGTCCAGTGGATTTGTCAACAGTTTTGACCCGCAAAGAAGTGCCAGGCCATAACCATAAACCGTCATTAATATATAGGTGAGTGCCACTCCCCTCCACTGCGCTCCTTGTACAGCATTCGGTTGCTTGTGTCCGGAAATCGTTGCGACATGTATGCAACGTTTTTTGTGTCTACACCCACACGTAACCCACACACCCAAACACATCTCTATCTCTACATGCATTCATATACATATATCCTTATGTCTGCTCTCTCTATCTTTCTCTCTCTCTCACCCATTCTCTGGTTGTTATCCCTTATATAGAGAAAAGGCAGCCGCATCGTCGTTGATTAGCATTCATCTGAAGTAAAGAGCAAGCGAAGATGGGCAAGGAGAAGATCCATATTAACATTGTGGTGATTGGACACGTCGATTCGGGCAAGTCCACCACCACCGGACATTTGATTTACAAATGCGGCGGCATTGACAAGCGTACGATCGAGAAGTTCGAGAAGGAGGCCCAGGAGATGGGCAAGGGCTCGTTCAAGTACGCCTGGGTGCTGGACAAGCTGAAGGCGGAGCGCGAGCGTGGCATCACCATCGATATTGCCTTGTGGAAATTCGAGACGGCCAAGTATTATGTGACCATCATTGATGCCCCCGGCCACAGAGATTTCATCAAGAACATGATCACCGGCACCTCGCAGGCCGATTGCGCTGTCCTGATCGTGGCCGCCGGCACTGGAGAATTCGAGGCCGGAATCTCGAAGAACGGCCAGACCCGAGAGCACGCCCTGCTCGCCTTCACACTGGGCGTAAAGCAGCTGATTGTGGGTGTCAACAAGATGGACTCCACCGAGCCGCCCTACAGCGAGGCTCGCTACGAGGAAATCAAGAAGGAGGTGTCCTCGTACATCAAGAAGATCGGCTACAATCCGGCCTCGGTGGCATTCGTCCCGATTTCCGGCTGGCACGGCGACAATATGCTGGAGCCCTCCGAGAAGATGCCCTGGTTCAAGGGCTGGACCGTGGAGCGCAAGGAGGGCAAGGGCGAGGGCAAATGCCTGATTGACGCGCTGGACGCGATCTTGCCGCCACAGCGTCCCACTGACAAGCCCCTGCGCCTGCCCCTGCAGGATGTCTACAAGATTGGCGGCATTGGTACAGTGCCCGTGGGTCGTGTGGAGACCGGCCTTCTGAAGCCAGGTAAGAGCATGGATGAATCACAATACAATCTTGATTAATTTTATATATAGTAACCTCACCGCCACCGCCACTACCGTGATTAGTTCATTCAAGTTCTCTGCCTCAAGTGGTGGCTGGCCAGCTAAATTTAGGTCGGCATTTGGGTGCTGCCACGCCACGCCACCACGCGAACGAAGCTCGAACCGAAGCCCTGCCCTGCGCATGTATGCATTATAGAGCGACGAGAGCGAGGCAGGGCACTGGGCACCCCCGATGCACTCATACCTACATACCTACATATACCCATCTCATCACGACACCACCCAACAGACAGATAGACAGATAGAGAACCTACTGTATGTACATGTATATTCGTTGCAGGAATGGTCGTTAACTTTGCGCCAGTTAATTTGGTCACTGAGGTGAAGTCCGTCGAAATGCATCACGAGGCGCTCACCGAAGCCATGCCGGGCGATAATGTTGGCTTTAACGTGAAGAACGTTTCGGTTAAGGAGCTGCGACGTGGCTATGTGGCTGGCGACTCCAAGAACAATCCACCCAGGGGAGCTGCTGACTTTACCGCTCAGGTAAGGACTTGCCCAGCTGTCTGAATGAATAGAGAAAACTGATAATACTTCCATTTTCTGTATTCGCTGCAGGTGATTGTGCTCAACCATCCCGGGCAGATAGCCAATGGATATACTCCCGTGTTGGATTGCCATACGGCTCATATTGCGTGCAAGTTTGCGGAGATCAAGGAGAAGTGCGACCGTCGTACGGGCAAGACAACGGAGACCGAGCCGAAGGCCATCAAGTCGGGGGATGCGGCAATCATTGTGCTGGTGCCCAGCAAGCCGCTGTGCGTTGAGAGCTTCCAGGAGTTTCCGCCGCTGGGGCGCTTCGCTGTACGCGATATGCGTCAAACGGTCGCCGTTGGCGTTATCAAGTCCGTCAACTTTAAAGAAACGACCTCGGGCAAAGTAACAAAAGCCGCTGAGAAGGCACAGAAGAAGAAATAACTAGGGTGCCAGCAGACCTACAACATAAGCAACAGCAACAGCAACAAGAATAAGAACATCACTCAAGAATCCCAGCAGCAAACGGCTAGAGCAGCAGCAACACATCTCAAAATAATAATATCTAATCGACGATCAAAACGATCAGAATCAGAATCAGTGGCAACCGAAGAAGAAGAAACACCAATTACCAATATTAACTGCTGCATGCAAATATTATACGAAATCGAACAAATACTACAATTAATAATAATCACACACACAATTAGCGTGGAGCAGCAGGGCACCACCAACACCACCACCACCAGTAGCAGGAGCAACAGTAGCAACAGTAGCAGGAGCAGCAGCAGCAGCAGAGTCAATGGCATCCTTCTACCGACCCAACGCGATGGTGTCAACACGGACGTGTATCCACTGTCCTTTCCGTTCGCTCAGTCGGTTGCCATCTACTGCATCTATCTGAATTTGTATCGCCATCGCAAGTCCTTTCGCAGGAAACCCTCGTCGTTGTCGTCGTCGTCGACATGCGCAGGAGCAGAGGGAGCCAACCAAATTGCCACTGTAGCTTGCTGCTAGCCTCATCTCCTCGATATACTCATCCATCATTACTAATAATAAAATTTTATTAAACATCCGCATCGACATCTCTTCATCTAACATTAATAGAATATCCTATCAGCCATCGCCCCATCGTCTCACCAATGGATTTTAAACACTTTTTATACTTTTGATAAGTCAAGTCGGAGGCATTCGATTTAAAATCTATTACACACTGTAATTTCAGAGTTTAGTTTTAAACCATGCCCCCTCCCCACACGCGCCACCCTCCTCCCAGTCCCCTTTTCTTTAAATGCGTTATTGAAACAAAAACAACCAAACAAAAAAAAAAGACTACATTCGCAATGAATTCAAAATTTTCTCTTGAAACCAAAAGACAAATGCTTAAGAAGTATTACAAAAAATATTATAACACACACATAATCATGCGGTTTTTGACAAAACATTCTAAATGTTCGTTCGAGCCTCATTTGCATTTGCATACTACACACAATATATACGTTAATCGCAGGTCATCATTGCCCCCATAACCACTCTCTGAATTTATACACATATAATTGTAACGTAACCACAACACCAAACAAAATTCATGGATACAGAAACATGTTGCTTGATAAAAAGATCTTTTAAATGATGAGAAAAATAAAGGAAGCTTAACCGTAAAATACCAAACAAATTGATTCAAACATTTGTTTTTTTGTTCCCCCCTATCTTATATAAGATTTCTGACGTTTGAAATTAACGGCTATCGGAGCTTATTGCGATTATTTTCGAAAGGGTGGCAGCTCTGGAACTGACTCACAGGCGGAATTTATTAAAAATCAGAAACAAAGCAAACCAAGCCACAAAGTCAAGCCGGCTGTTCAGCAATTATCAAAATAATTGTGATTCAGAATAGAAGCAGTGGCTCTTACTAAAATTTTCATCACTTGAAATACCAATAATCCCGTGGTAGCACAAAAATGGCAGATCCACGCATCAGGCAATTGGTTATTAAAACGGGTGTCGTGAAGCGCCTGTCGAAGGAAAAGACTACGTACGAGAAGGAGGTGAACATAGAACGCACACGCTTGGAGAAGTTCAGGAACGATGGAGCCGATGACCATGTCCTGCGCAAGCAGCAGGAGGTCATCGAGGAGTGTGAGATGATGATTCCGGACTCCAAGCGCAGGTATTTCCATTATCTAAGAGTTCCAGCCAAATTGGATCGTTATTAATTTCTTGCCCTCTCTTCCAGACTGCAAAAGGAGTTCGACGTGCTGCAGAAATTCCTCGATGACGAGGTCGATCTCAAGGGGACGGAGACCTACACAAAGGCTGCCGAGATTATAACCGAAGCCAAGGGTGTGCTGGCGGTTTAATGTACCTGGCACCAAGCGAATCTTAATACGTTTCTCAATAGTATTAATTAATAAATAATTATGCTTCCCTAATTACGTTGATTGCATTAATATTATTTATAATAAATTAACATCAGCCAAACAGATGTGCACGCGTTTGACGTTTTCTAACACTGCTTAAAATGCCGGCGAAGATTCCGAAATTATGCGAAATAAAGACAAATATTGAACAATCTGCTGCCGTTCTGCGGGAATTAGAGATTGGTAGTAATGCCCCACCAAGTGAAGTTGAGGTGGGGCAGGCTAAAGCGCACCAAGAGACCACAACAAAACAGCTAGACGAAATCGACTCCAAAACGGCTGCAAAGATTGCCGGCATCCGACGACGCAGAAAACGCCGGCGTTGGAAATTCATACAAAGGAACAAGGAACAACAAGCAGCCGAAAGCGTTGTCAAAGAGGAACCCGTACCGAAGCCCCCTGACGAACCCCGTCCTGCTCCAAGGGAAAAGCAAACGGAGAACATCACCTTGAAAAAGCGGTATGATGCGGCCAGTATTTTGGAGAGGCTAGACCTTCTAGTGAAGCTATGCGAGGCCCGAGGCGGAGACAAGGCCAGCCTAACCGAGAAGCTGGCCTCCATGCGCACGGTGTGGAGCCGGGTGCAGCAGGAGAGTTCAGCAACTGGCAGAATCACCGAGTCCAAGTCGCCATCGATAGAAACCCAATGGGACGTTGTGTTCTTTGGCCAAGCCTCCTCTAGTCAGAAGCAACGGCGAGGAGAAAAACCTGAGTTTCTTAAGAGGCGGTAAGATTTTTAACGCCTTCCAACCTCAGGTCTATCAAGTAATCCAATTTTATTTGCAGTTCCATATGGGATTCTTATATAACTCAAGGAAAGCGAGGCTCCTGCATACCCCGCGGATGGGTGCTACCAATGGAAGAGGCGACCAGCGAATGGTTGGAGTATAGAACTGAATAAAATAGAATACTTTTATAAGAATGATGGAATTTTATTTCTTTTGAAGAATCTCTGTACTGTATAACTTAGGTGAGAGGCAAATGCAGATTCAGACTCTACACATGACAGCCATTTTATTCGTAGATCCAGTCCTTGGCAGCTGGAACCCAGGGGACCAGCTCCTTCTCGGTGAACCAGAGGCCGATCTCCTTCTCGGCAGACTCGACGGCATCGGAGCCGTGGATGATGTTGCGGCCCACCTGTATGCAGAAGTCACCGCGAATGGTGCCGGGCAAGGAATCGGCTGGGTTGGTGGCGCCGAGCATCTGACGGCCGGTCTTGACCACGTTCAAGCCCTCCCACACCATGGGAACCACTGGACCGGAGTTCATGTAGTTGACAAGTCCGGGGAAGAAGGGACGGGCCGACAGATCGGCATAGTGCTTCTCCAACAGCTCCTTGGAGGCCTGCAATGATTGCAAAACAGATATTGTAACGCTATCACCGTTTTCTTGACCTCTAAAACACATGTCAAATTGATGACGCCCCCACCTGACGGCGTCGCCATTGAGGTTAAACACGATACGCCAGACAGCCAGCGTGGGGGCGCGCTATTGATTTCTTAATTTAATTATTTGCTTACCCAGGTGAACTTCAGGGCGACCAATTTGAAGCCCTTCTGCTCGAAGCGCTCAATGATTTTGCCGACAAGTCCACGCTGGACTCCATCGGGCTTAACCATGATAAAAGTACGCTCCTTGTTGGCCGCCATCGCTACAGAAATTAATGAAAAAAGCGCTAGTACGGTACCCAGCATGCTTATCGGGACAATCGATTTTCGATGCATTTTCGATCAAAAAAAGCTAATGCGTTTTTGTTGCACCTTCTCTGAGATGCACAAGTCGTGGTTTTTATAAAAGAGAGGAGATTTAATTATACTGAAAGGTAAACACAACACCAAAGTAATCCCAAGATAAAGCAAATAAATACATTCAATACTCAATACCGATAGCATACATAAACGCAACCCTACACGAGTGCAACGCTGGGATTGCAATTAAAAGCCCGGTTAACTTTTGAAGGAAATGTGCTATTTTTTCCATACTGCGTTCTCAGATAGTTTATCCGAGCAAGTAAACACTAAAAACAATCTCAGGAACGAGAAACACTTTGAAAGTCACGTTTCGATTCGCTTTACTGCCGACCGATTAGATTAGATTCTGGGTAATCACCATCCGTGATTCAACAATACAAATTTACAAATAATATATACAGTTAGATAAATTCAAATGCTAAATATGATTATTTGGTCCCATCCAGGTTTGTCAGGCCATCGGCATACTGAAACTCTGGGCTGTTCTCGTACTCGCACATGTCCAGGGCAATCACACAGCTCTCCTTGACCACACGCTTCTCATCGTCCGCATAGCGGTTCAGAATCTGTATGCAATCCTCCGTGGCAATGGCTCCCAGAGCCTCTGCGCACTCGTGGCGCACCATCTCATTTTCCTTGTGGTCCTCCAGGTTCTCCTGCAAGTACGGAATGCTGCAGGGCTCTTGCAGTTGGCCCAGAACAAAGGCCACCTCGTGGCGGAACAAGGCAGACGAATCCTTGAGTCCCTCGGCTATGGCGAGGACACTCTCCTCTGTGCGCAGGTTGCGCAAGCTGAACATGGCCCGGTAGCGATCGAACAGCGTCTGCTTGCCGTCCAAGTAGATGGTCCTCAGCTCAGCCACACTCTTGTCGCCGGCCGTCGGAGGCGAGGGATCCACGGAGGCGTAGGGATTGTTGTCGGCCACCTGCTGTCCGCTCTGTAGCCAGCGTACACGTTCCAGTGCAATGGCGCATGTCTCGGCAACCTCGACGACAGGATCCTTCTTGTACTCCTCGAGGATGGCCAGCACGTCTGCGTGGCCAATGGCGCCCATGGCCTCGGCGGCTTCATGGCGAACCATCGGCTCTTGTTTGGTGTCCTTCAGGACCTTGGTGAGTATGTCCAACGCCTTTGGGTCCTGCATCTGTCCCAGGCAGTAGGCCAATTCGTGCTTGAGCAAGGCTGAATCATCGTCGAATGCCTTGCTTATGGAATCAATGGCCGTCTTGCCACCAATATTCTTCAGTGTAAAGAGGGCGCGGAACCGCTCCTTGAGCGGCCTGTCCTTGTTGTTCAGCACCCCGCCAATGGCTTCGATCTGCTCTTGCGTGACCATTTTTGCTGCTAGCCGGTGTCGATGGATGTATAAATAAAAATAACAAAGCAACAGTGCTGCGCCGCGTGGAGTACTTTTGAGTCGTTTCGAAACACTAAACCAACGCCGCCCGCCAACACTGTCCCAAAAGGCCGCCAGAAAATGCCGTTGTGCAGCACTAATCCAGAAGCAGTTTAGTTACGTTTACAAGCGCGATTTAAAAAACACAAAAAAAGTGTGAAAGGCGGACTATTTTATTGGAAACAATATTCGAAATATACAGCCAAGTGTATTTCGCAATATAATACAATACTTGCGAACGGTTTTTTTTGTTGCAGTACACGTATCCGGCATTTATAAAATTTGCGGGTTCACGCTTTGCCCAGCGTGTAAATTTTACCTGTAGTTGTGTACAAGGGACAGAGTGGAATAAACTCGTCAGTGCCAGAGTCTGCAGCCGAAGCAGTTTAAAGTTAAAATATTGCGAAATACACACGGTTTCGCAATAAAACATAATCATTATCGTACAGAAGCGCCTGGAAGCATTGCATTAACCAAATAATGTCCGACGAAACTGGCGCACAGAAGCCGGAGACGGTGCTGGACAACAGCAGTGTTGAGGAGGCGGCGTTGGATGAGAAAAAAACACCCGTAAGTGGCGTTGCATATACATATTTAGTGACAATTAACAGCACAGTACAGCGATAAGAGCGCGCGCAGTTCCACGCACACAAATGAACAAACACCAAACCGAATTATCTGTGACGACTGCTTTGGGTACTACGGGGAACTAGCTAGGGGAACATAAGCGCTGGATTGTTCAGTAATTTTCCAAAATAAAACGCACACATACACAGCTTGTGTGTGCATTTTGTGTGTTGCGTTTTATTGTCCATTTTCTATTTACGTTTCTTCTACTGCTACTTGCCCTCGTGTGCGCGCGCTTTTTCCAAAACTCCACTCCCCCATGGAAGATACATTGTACAATGTGTGTGTGTGTATGTACTCGTTGCTGTTGCCGTTAGGTTAGTGAGCAAGCAATCGGCGTTTCCCTTTTGGACGCACGTTTTGCCGCTGCGTCTCGTTTGTTTTTATTTTTTCTTGTTCTCTTTTCGACTTTTTGTTGTTTGCTGTACTTTACCACACAAATGTACAGTGGCACACGCTTGTTAACGCGCAGTCGTACAAATAAAGTTCAGAGCGCTGTAACTTTTGTAATAATGTATGAAGATATATCCATACAATTTCAATGTGTTAACAACTAGGCAAATAATATTATATCTATGCGTCTTTTCTTCGAACGACTGTACGTTTTTAGCTAGCAGGCACTGTACTCACACACATGTATGAATGTGCCTTTGCATGTGGGGATGGATGAATGGAATACGATGCGCGCTCTAGATTCGGATCTAATTTGTTGTCCGATGGCTATAGTGGGTTTAATACTTGATCAGTGGCAATAGTCCCATTAGCGATATGTAATGGCACAGATTTATGTTAGGGAATTATTTTCGAGTATTAGCATTCCTTTGACCATTTTATTTGTAACATTACGTTTTAATTTATACTTATACATTAACTATTGCAGAAACGCACACCCAAACGACGCTCATTTATTGAGCGGGCACAGCGGGAAAGCGAAGAGCTGGTACGAACGATGGGCGGCAGCTTGGAGCTAGAGGGTGGACGTCGCACGCGATCCAGTACTCGCGGCACACCGACACGGGCCACTGAGGCTGTTACACCGCCGCCCAGCAAGAAGGCTCGCACCTCGCCGACGACAGCCACCAAGAGCGGGGGTGCCGGGAAAGGCCGCAGTGCACGCAAACTGGACGTGGGCAGCGATGAGCTCGACCAAGAGCCAGAGAAGGCAAATGCAGAGGTGGTTGAGTCGGCGGTCAAGGCAAAGGTGATTAGGAATAGAATTCATTGTAGAAACAATAGATCTAACGATACGAATCATTTTAGGCTACTCCCAAGAAAGATAAGAAGGAGGTGAAGAAGGATGAGAAGCCAGTTAAAGCTACTCCTAAGAAGGCAGTTCCAGCCACCAAAACAGAGCCCGAAAAGGAAGAGAAGCCTGCAGATGCAAAAGAAACGGATGCCAAGACAATCGAGAGTGAGGATCAGCCAGATGGTGGTGCTGCCAAGCTGCCAGCTGTGCCCGAAAAGCAACAGAACCACGCTGCGGAGGAGGACAAACCAAGCAAAGATGAGCCCGAGGTAAAGGAAAAAACGCCAGAGGAAGTGCCAAAGGCTGAAGACCCACCGAAAAGTAACGATGACCCTGAAAATGGTACCAGCACCGACACTCCTGCTCCGGCTGCAGCCGCGGATCCAGCTCCCGCAGCTATGGAAGTGGATGAAGAGAAGCCGGAAGCAGCAGCAGCGTCAGACAATCAAACGGAAGCCAAAAGCGCACCCGCCACTACTTCAGAGCCTGCCACCTGCCGAAGCTGAGAAGGCAACGGAGGAGCCAAAAAAGCAATCTGAACCAGCCCGGGAACCCTCACCGGAGCCCATGGAGGTTGATTCGAGTTCCAAGAGTAGTACAGAAACTGTTCGATTCACACCAGCCGCCGAAAAGGTCGCATCAAGCGCAGAAGCAACAAAATCAAGCAATAATGTTGTCGATGAAATCGCCACTGAGGTCAAAGAGGATGTGCCAGCCGAGCCCAAGGAGGGAAAGAAGGCAGAAAGCTCAGACGAGCCCAAAAGCACGGAAGAGCCAAAGCCAGCAGAAAGTGCCGAAGAGCCCAAGGAAGCCGTAAGGACAACGGGGGAGAAAGTCACACCAACTGCTGAGGTTGGCCTGCCCCTGCCACCAACGATGTTAGCAAGCCGACGCCGGTTGTGGCTGTCGATGCTGTCGTGTCAGAGACGCCCATTAAGGAGGTACAGCCCATCAGTGCAGTCAACAAATCCGAGCTTAATGTGAATGGTGAGCAAAATCCAACTGGTTCAAAGCATTTCGATACTCATTTCTTGTTTATGTTGTTGCAGGTGAACCAAAAATCGTTAACAATTCCGTCGACGGCGGTGAGCATGCAACGCCGAAGGTGTGGAACTAGGCCGGGCGGATGATACAAAATCCAATTACTAATCAGTGCGTTGCAGCATCTACCATCTTCAGGCAAAAGATGTCGCCAACTACAAGCAATCATTTAAGAGTTAACAAAAACAACAAAAACACCCACAGAACACACAGATTCCATTCTCTCCACATCTGACAACTTAATTCGGTCTGTACCCAAAAATGAAATGATATAAAATAGGTTCGTGTCTTCCAGTCTTGGATTGATTGATGATGATGATGATGAGTGAGAGAAGCGCCATAAGCTGCAATCGATGCTGGATTTTCAATGTTGCACTGTGTGCGCTACAGACAGACAGACAAATGAACAGACCCCCCTAATCCACCGCTCTGACCGCCATTCTCTTCCCGTTTCCCCTACCCTGCACCCGCTCACACGAAAATACACAGACAGATTGTGAAATGCATCTTAATATAATATGTATGTGTATAATTAATTCAATTGGAATCAAACAAATGATACATTGACACGAAAATGTATGTAAAATATAGATGGATGTTTTTAAATTTTAAGATCCAATACCTGTAATAATAATGCAAGACTAATTCTAAAAAAAACCAATTTGGATACCACTCAACAAAAATCAACTACATATAACAAAAAAGGAAATGATTTTAACTAACTTAACGCAATACAAACAGCTCTATGGCTATTAAGATATGACTCTATAAATATGTACACCTATTTTAACTATTTTTCGGGTCATTTACCAAGCCCCCCATCCCCTGATTATGTGCTTGTTTTATTTAAAGCATTTAGTTTTTCTATATACATATGTTTAACCATTTGTAACCTGAACAGAATTGATTTCTAAACCGAATAATGTGCATGGTGTGTGATGTCCACTGGGAACAGTTGTGCTATCCTCCCATCAGTCTTAAATGAATTCGTAATTAAATATATTAGAGTAAGCTTTTTAAATGAAAAACAAAACAAACAAACAACACACGAGATGGAAATTCTTATAATTATACATACTTTAATACTTTTACAATTGCAACAGGAGCGAGCGTAAATTAGTTTCGAAGCCGTTTTTGTATGTAGCTTTTCCTCTGTATAAGGAATTCTTCATTTGAATATTCTTTTGTAAATAAATCTTTTTAAAATACAAGAGAGAAGAAATGTGTTTGAGCCCACTGGAGAGTGGCGTAGTGGGACACAAGACCCCATTGCTTCGAAGGCAGTGCCTTACCTGTTTCGGTGCTTCCGGAGATGAAGCAGCTTCGAGGCATTGATGATGACCATGATTTGCTCTGGCTTAACTGACCATTGTATTGGCTATTTATGAAACCAAACATACTTCAATCTATAATATAACGTTACTCCTTGGACACTGTTAAAATTTACGGCAACTCTGCTTGGAAGTTGGCCTTGGCTACTCGCAACTTGGAGCTACTTGGCTTGGAGCTTCTGCTGCTCTGTTTGGAAATACCAGCCTTTTCCGAGCAAATACGAATTGAAATATATCTAGGCGCGAAAATGATTTATTCATTGTGTTTTTTGTTTCATTTTTTCGCTGTGAATGTTTTTAGGATTACATTTGTAAAATATTTGTAAAGTATCGTATATGGCCGTATGACATTGTCACAGTCATAATCTCCAGAGCAAAATTGGATCTGAAAAATATATTGATAATCTCTGACGCTGATCGACACCTGCTCAACTAGAAAGACAACCTAACTAACGCATATATATTTTATCTTCTAGATCTGTCTGTGCAGTTGGTCAATTAGCACAGTCTAATGTCATACGACCATTAGGAACATATGTGGATGGTAGCAGAGTTTCGGAATGTAATGTGCTTTGAGTGTATTGGTATACGAGCAGTGCTGCCGAATCAGCTTTTTCCCGTAGCTGGCAGCTGCTGCCCTCAAAATTTTATCATTGCCGTGGTGTGGTCAAACGAGGCAATTGAGCGGATTTTTGGCCAAGTTAATCTGGTTAAGTCTAAATTAATTAATTCCATAAAACCCATCACTTATTGGAAGTGAAAAGATATTAATTATAAATAATTATTATTTAAATAATGCCGTTTTCACTACAAATTTTTAGCTTATTTTGTCTCTTGTCCAAGTTAGAAACGGCTTTTTTCTGACGAAAATTTGGCAGCACTGTATAAGCAATAGTCCAACTATCAGCTCCGCTCCCATCTTGGGGGATTCCACTGTGCGGCACTTTTGGCCCCAACATAAATAAAAAACGCAAAAGCAAAAGGCAGAGTAGAAGTTCGCAAATTAACGAATAATAATGGCCACGCTAGTGAAGCCCAAAAAAGCGGTAAGCACATGGATGCACTGGAGCAGAAGGAGCAATGAGAGATTGTTAATTCCAGAAAACGAAGAAGCCCCAAAGCGAGAGCCAGCAACAGATTCTGAGGCTGCAAGAGGAAGAAGAATATGACGGCGAGTTATCAACAAGTAGCGTAGCAGCAGCACCAGAACAAAGACCAACAGAAAATGCGTCGCTTCTGGAAGAGTTTGAGCGCGTCGCTGCGTTGGCCAGCAGCAGCAGCAGCAGTGGGGCCGAGGGCATCATTAGTCACGACTGCTGCATTTCCAGCGATGTATTGGAGTTGCCGACACAGCCAGAGGCAGAGGCAGAACCAGAGCCAGAACCCGAACCTGAACAGGAACCGCAAGCACAGCTAGAACCGAGTGCACCCAGTGCCCCGCCTTCGAGCAGTGCCAAAATAGTGCAATATCCGAACCTCCAGCCCATGAAGCTGTCCAATGCCCAGATCGAGGAGCATTCATCGAAGATTGTGTTCCGCCAGCCCAATTGCCAGCCAGCAGGATTTGCTCTAGTGCGCAGCCATCTTAAGCCCCTGGACGCCGAACAGCTGCGGCAAATCTACGACTGCCCGGACCTGGAGCTGGCCAAGCAGTTTGAATTGGAATTCCTCATGAACTCGTTGCTGGAGTCGAGCGAAACCGATCCCCTTTATGCGGCGCTGCTGGAGTACTTTCACCTGCAGAGCAAACTAACTTCGAATCTGCACGATGTGGAGAAGCTGCGAAAAGCATGTGTGGAGGCGCAGGAGCAGATTTGGGAGCGTGAGTCAGTGAATCGCACCTTTCGCGGCACTTGCGGCGATGGCAACGTGGTGAAGGAGAGCATTACCTACGAGTGAGTGCTACGCCCAGAGGCCTTCCCATTGCTAATGATATTCCTTGGTCCCCACAGAATCATAAAGGTCAACCAAAGCAAGATGGAGCTGACGAAGACTGTCCTTACGGGCCTCTACGACCTGGTTTCGCACACCTACACGAACAATCTAATCACAGCCAAGATAACCAAAGTGAAGATCGATCAGATGATCAATGAACTGCTCTCATATCCCCATGTAGACGCCCAGGCAGCCATTTCATTGAATTCCAAACTGGATGCGGCGACGCTCCAGTTTGTAGGGCAGCTGCGAGGTGCCATCGCCATTCTGTTTAGCTTTGTGAGGCGGCCCAGTCCAAATGTGGTAAAAGTTTGATCGGCAAAGGATCATGGGAAACGGAAATGGGAGACACAACTAATTGTTTTTCTTTGCAGAACTTTGACAAGGATCTGAAGACGTGGATACGCAAGCTGATTGCCCTGCAGCTGCTGCTGGCCACCAAGGAGGATCACTGGTTCCTGCTGTTCAACATACTCCGCTGTCCTAATGGCGTGGGCTCGTGGGCAGCCCAGTTCCTGCAGCTGCCCGGCATGATGCTGCCATTGCAAGCCGCAAGCCGAGGCAGTCAGAAGAATGAGCTTCCCTTTGGCCTGAACTCGCCAGAGCTGAATCACTGCATGGCTGTGCTGCAGATCCTCTTGATGCCCGTGAAAAGACGCAATGAGTATCTGCAGAGTCAGGCCCAAGCGCATCGCGAGCTGTCGCAGTCGACGAGGGCCGCAGACTGCTGGACAGTGGTCGACTCGGATGGCGAGGACGCGCATACACCCACCGGCGAGTGCATAGGTCTCAAGGAAAACGATCTGATAGCGCTGCTGAACCAACTGCCGTTCGAGAAAATCTTTGCGTAAGAAGGAAGACGGCCGAGATTTCTGTCCGAGATTTAGTTGATGATCGACGTCTGTTTCAGATCGGCTATGCGAATTGAAAAGTTTCTGGATGACTATATCATCGAGCCGGACATGATAACGGGCCAGCAAATGCTCTCGGTTGTGGTCTTCCTTGCCCAACTGGTGAAGACGCTGGGCGAGGGCATGCTCACATACAACAACCAACGATACAAGCAGCTGGCCAAGCGACTGGGTCGCCTGGTGCGCCATACACTGCAGTATGTCTTTGACTATCATGAGCTTTTCCTGTGAGTTTTATTTTCACTTTCATTCATCCACAAATGTAACCTATAAGGTACCGCCCTGCCCCCTTTGTAGACACAACAACCTGAGCAAATCCTCGGAGCTTTACGATCGAATTCAGGTGGAGCTGCAGGCGTTGCTTCTACGAGCCTGCGGCTACATTTATCGCACCCGCAATCTGGGCACTTGGCAGTACTTCTCGACGCTGCCGTTCGGCACACTCGATGCGGAGATCATTTGGCATCTCTTCTACTATCTGAATGTGGGCTTTCCCACGGATCTGTCCACCGATTTGGTTGGCAATGCGGAGGCCGCCTTCCAAGCGGACGACTTTTGGAGCAAGTTCGATCAGGCCAACTCGGATGTGGCGCCCGAGGATATGTACTACCTGCTGCAGACATTCTTTGAGATGGCCAACGACCGGAACCGCACCAAAGATTGGAACCTTATCAAGGCGATTTGTCTGCACATCTTCCACATGGGATATATCCATCTGCCGACCAGAGAGATTTGCTACAAGACATCCCGCGACATGCTGGCCAACCTCATGCAAGAGGACCTCCTGGGCTGCTTCCTCGTCCAGCTGAAGGTGCGTTACGCGGACGTCGAAAAGGCGGCGTATCTGTTCAAGGCGTTGCCCCTGGATGCCTGGCACCCCTGCATGGACAGCTTCGAGGTTCTCTCCAACTGGCTCCTGCACTACGACTACCAGTCGTCGGAGAGTAATCTGGCGCGCCTGATCATCAGCCACCTCAACTGGGGCTTTGATGGCGAGGGTCGCCTCTTTCTGCCACACAACATCCA